CTCTCTCTCTCTCTCTCTAACTCTCTTTATCTATCTATCTATCTATCTATCTATCTATCTATCTATCTATCTATCTATCTAACTATCTATCTATCTAACTATCTATCTATTCATCTACTTCTCCTTCATATATTCCTGACGAAAAATAAGAAAACGTTTTAGCAGAGACAATGCCATATGAAATTCATCGTTCTTACATTCATATGTTTTTTTGTTTTTTTATTTTTTTAAAGACGAAAGGAAGGCCTCATAGACGATAATAAAAGGGAAGGAAGATTGTAGAAGGACAGAGAATGAATTTTATCTTACAAATATATTGCTCGACTTAAGATCAGATGAAAATATGACAACAGCAAATTGAGTAAAGTTAGAAAGTTTTGATTATTCTCTCTTTCTCTTTCTTTCCCTTTCTTTCTCTCTCTTTCTTTCTCTTTCTTTCTCTTTCTTCTCTTTCTTTCTCTTTCTTTCTTTCTCTTCCTCTCTCTTCCTCTTTTTTTCTTTCTTTCTCTTTTTTCTCTCTCTTGCTCTTTCTTTCTCTTTCTTTCTCTCTCTTTCTCTTTCTTTCGCTCTCTTATTCTTTCTTTCTCTTTCTTCTCTTTCTTTCTTTCTCTTCCTCTCTTTCTCTTTCTTTCTTTCTTTCTCTCTCTTTGTCATTCTTTCTCTTTCTTTCTCTTTCTTTCTCTCTCTTTCTCTTTCTTTCTCTTTCTTCTCTTTCTTTCTCTCTCTTTTTCTTTCTTTCTCTTTCTTCTCTTTCTTTCTTTCTCTTCCTCTCTTTCTCTTTCTTTCTCTTTCTTCCTCTTTCTTCTCTTTCTTTCTCTTTCTTTCTTTCTCTTCCTCTCTCTTCCTCTTTTTTTCTTTCTTTCTCTTTCTTTCTCTCTCTTTCTCTTTCTTTCTCTTTTTTTCTCTCTCATTCTCTTTCTTTCTCTTCCTTTCTCTCTCTTTCTCTTTCTCTCTCTTTTTCTTTCTTTCTCTTTCTTCTCTTTCTTTCTTTCTCTTCCTCTCTTTCTCTTTCTTTCTCTTTCTTTCTCTCTCTTTCTCTTTCTTTCTCTCTCTTCTAATTCTAAGAAATAAGGAATTACGTGGAGAAGACAACTAAGAAAGGAAAAGAAGAAGACAATAAAAATACGAGAAAATAAATCAAAGAAATAAACACGAAAGAATAATGATAACAACTGAGAAAATAAGAAAGAAAAAAAAGAAAAGACGAGAAACAAAAGAAAGAAAAAAGGAAAAGAAGAGAAACAGTAGAAAGGCATAAAGGCCAAAGATGAAGACAAAGGAGAGAGAAGATAAAAATAAAATGAAGGAAGAGAAGACATGTACAAAGACAAACAAATACACAAACAAACACAAACAAGCAAAGAGACATCCCCAGACATTAAAAAAGGACAAAAAATGGAAAACAAACTCACAGAGAAAGAAAGAAAGAAAGAGAAAGACAAGAAAATGAGAAAATTAGAAACAAAAGCACGAGGACGCTGACAAACGAAAACGGAAAAGTAACAACAACAACAAATAAAAACATAAACATCACTCACTCAGTCCAGAAAGAGATATGAGAAAGCAAGGTAAATTATCCTTAGAAATAATAATAACAAATTGCTAAATTAGAATCAGAAAACTTCAGATTAAAGGCCCAAATAATAATAATAATAATAATAATGATAATGATAATAATTATTATTATCATAATAGTAATAATGATAATGATAATAATAACAAATAAAAATATTCAAATAGAAATTGATAATATTAAAATAATATTATGATATTAAAAACACCCGGATAAATATGCTCATATTTGCTCTCTCTCTCTCTCTCTCTCACACACACACACAAACACGTACACACACGCACACACACGTACACAAACACACATAAATGAAAAAAAAAAAAAATACAAACATACACACCCATATTAAAAATGATAATAATAGCAACATCGATACTGCAATGATAATTTCAATGATGATGATAACAACAATAGAAGCAATAGTAATAAGAACAATGGTACTGTAATGATAATAAAAATAGTAGTAATTATATCAATGCAAATAAAAAAAACAATAATGATGATGACGGTGTTAATACTAATAATGTTAATTATAATAGTAATAACGCTAATAATGATAAAGTGATAACAAGAAATATTAATAAAGTAAGAGTGAGAATGATAATGATTATGATGATAACGATACTGGTAATGATATTAATGATGATGATGGTAATAAGAACAATATCAGTGATACTGATATTGTGATAATTATGATAATGATAATACCAATGATGATAATAATGAAGTAATAGTGATAATAGTAATAATAATGAAAATAATAATAGCAATAGAAATAGCAATAACAATAATAATAATGATACTAATAATAATGATAATAATCATAGTAACAATAATGATAACAATATTCATAATGATGATAAGGAAAATAGGAGTAATAATATTATAATAATAACAATATGAACAATGACGATAACGATGCTAATGATGATAATGCAATTATAATAACAATGATCATAGTGAAAATTATAATGATACAACGACAACAACAAGAATATAAATCTTACAAAAATACCTAATAGATATCCCCCCCCCCCCCACACACACAGCTCTCTAACGTCACTACGGCTTTCCACCACTTCTTTCCGGAAAAGACACTGAGGACACTCCCAAAGGACCTGCCTGGGATCACGGGCCGCATCTAACGCCTCATTCAGCAGAGAAACGAAGGCCTCCGCTCGTAAAATATCACCTCAGCAACACAATCATTAGGGAAATAAAAATAGCCAAGAAAACCTTCTACCGCAGCGAACTACAACACCTGCAGCCCGGCCAATGGTTCGGGGAAAGTTCGGGAGCGGTGCGGCCTTGCAAATCGGCCGTGCACGTTCCCATGCACCAGCAACCTCAGCCCCAGTGAAGCAGCAGAGGCTCTCAATGACCACTTCGCCTTGATTTGTCAGCAGCTACCCCCCCCCCCCCCCTTGAACACCACCCTCCTCTCCTGCCTACCTGCCGGCCCGCTCGCTTGCTCCAACTGTCAGCCAATTTCAAGTGCTGCAGAAGCTGGGAAAAAATCCGCGTCAAGAGAGCCACCACTCCCCCTTGACCTGCCCATGCGCTTCATCAAGGAGTTTGCAATGGAATGTGCCACTCCTTTTACCTCCATAATAAACGCCTCATTGCAACAGTCTCAGTGCCCATCAGTGCCTTTGTCACCGTCATCGGAAAAAAACCCAAGCACCGCCTCGTTTGGCGAACTACGACCCATCGCCATTACTCCGTTGCCCAAGCCTTCTGTGTGAAAGCTTTGTCACCAACTGCGCTTACCAGGCCCTCGCGCCCAGCCTTGACACTCGGCAGTTCGGCAACACGCGCTCCTCCTCTACCCCACACTACCTCGTCAGCTTACCTCGACTTCACCCTTGCCCACCTCGACGAGCCCAAATCCTCCGTCACCAGCATCGTCTTAGATATCAAGATGAGACTGCCCTGGTCTCTCCTCCCTCGCCACTCACTACACCACCTCACTGCAGCAGTTTGGCCTGAAGCTGCCATTCACCTGCTGCCCCCGACACGCGCTGCCAACAAACTGGTGCCCATCAGGACCCGAACTGACCGCTGCCACCGGAGCACAATACCCTCTCGAGTCCGACTTATCAACGAGCACTAGTCAATGGACGCCCACCACACCTCTCCTATGAACACTAGTCCACAATTACTTATATTCACCGCCATCTAACCATCTATCTATCTATCTATCTATCTATCTATCTGTCTATATTCACCATCATCTAACCATCTATCTATCTATCTATCTATCTATCTATCTGTCTATATTCACCATTATCTAACCATCTATCTATCTATCTATCTATCTATCTGTCTATATTCACCATTATCTAACCATCTATCTATCTATCTATCTATCTATCTATGTTCACCGTCATCTAACCATTTATTTCTCTATCTGTCTATCTATCTATGTATCTCTTTATCTATCTATCCATATTCACCGCCATCTAACCATCTATCTATCTATCTATCAGTCTATCTACATATCTATATTCACCATCATCTAACCATTTATTTCTCTATCTGTCTATCTATCTATGTATCTCTTTATCTATCTATCCATATTCACCGCCATCTAACCATCTATCTATCTATCTATCAGTCTATCTACATATCTATATTCATCATCATCTACCATCTATCTATCTGTCTGTCTATCTATATATCTATCTATCTATTTATCTATCTATATCCCCCGCCACTTAGCCATCTCTCTCTCTATTTATCTATCTATCTATATTCACCGCCATCTATCTATCTATCTATCTATCTATCTATATCCACCACCATCTAACCATCTATTTATCTATCTATCTATCTTTCTCTCTCTTTATCTATCTTTCTTTCTCTCCATCTATCTTTCTTTCATCTTCCTTTTTCTCTTCAACCGAAAAATCTCCGCCAGTTAAGAGACGAAATCCAAGGAGCGACTTACCCGTTCGACGTAATCCGGTTACGCTGATTTGTCCGGTTCAGGAGGAAAGGGAGAGAGAGGGAGAGAGAGGAAAGGGAGAGGGAGGGAGAGGGAAGGGAGGGGGGAGGGAGGGAGGGAGGGGAGGAAAGGGAGAGGGAGGGAGGGAGGGTAGGGAGGAAAGGGAGAGAGAGAGAGAGAGAGGAAAGGGAGAGGGAGGGAGGGAGGGGAGGAAAGGGAGAGAGAGAGAGAGAGAGAGAGAGAGAGGAAAGGGAGAGGGAGAGAGAGGAGGGAGAGGGAGGGAGGGAGGGGAGGGAGGGAGGGAGAGAGAGAGAGAGGGAGAGAGAGGATAGGGAGAGGGAGGGAGGGAGGGGAGGGAGGGAGGGAGAGAGAGAGAGGGAGAGGAAAGGGAGAGGGAGGGAGGGAGGGGAGGGAGGGAGGGAGAGAGAGAGAGAGAGTAAAGGGAGAGGGAGGGAGGGAGGGGAGGGAGGGAGGGAGGGG